CGTCTTCATGACTATAACTCATCCTATCTACTTTTTCATGGGTGGTGAGAACTTGGATTATAACTCGACTTTGTTCTTTTTCAAGAACGTGCCCTTTTCAGGGTTAGTCGCTAGTTTTTCGGTGATTTCTCTGGTGGAGAATGCAGAACTTTCAATGGGAAGTGTTTTCTACAGACGACGCCAATCTGTTGACCTCGAAAATTAGATCTTCCACGTGACCAACCGAGAGCTACTCCATATATTCTTCCCTGTGCACAATCAACGCACGGTAAGACACACACGGTCGAGACCAACGGGGATGGCGGCGGCCGTATACGCTCTGACGATCAAGTAAGGTTCAAGTGGTCGAAACAGTACCCAGAGGTTGTGCAAAATAATGAGGAGGAAGATAAAATATTTACTTGCTATGGAGTGCTATTTAGTAAGAGTTTCATTACCTTTGCCTCTTGCCAATTTTTGGGTATTTATAGGTGAGACGGACCGTTGGATGTGGGATACGTGTATAGATCTGATGGTATGAGGCGTCTGCTCATAGGTATCAATCAGCCGCGTCTGTAGAATGGGCGGATAATTGTTTCTCCCAAGTTGAGTTGACATAAAGTTGATACGTTATATCAACTAGCCTCAAGGAGACGTCAAGTCAATTTAAACCTTAGGAGCAGAAAGGATCTTAGCAAAGATCTCCTTCTGAAATTGGCGGCGTATCTTCTGACAGAGGTCCCCAGAGTCCACTTTGCCTCGACATCATGGGGAGGGCGCTTCGGTCAGTTAGGCAGAATTGTATGTGGCTCACAGTGTGAAAGCCGGTTGTTGACATTGGAGAAATTACTTCGGAACCACTTTGATTGGCTGTCTAACAGCTCGAAGTGCCTTGTGGTGGATATTTCGAGGTGATCCAGATAGGGGCGTAACAATAACCTCGGCCAACGCCACTAATGGTAGAGTTGTTATTGTGCTTAGTTTCCCATCTCCAAAAAATAGTTGAGTTTATGGTCTTTAAGAGAGTAAGTAGTGAAAATATTTGATGATCATTTTCAGTTTGGTGAAATTAACCTTTGCCTAGTAAAAGAAAATAAATAAATAATAAATAATAAAGTGAGAGTCATTTTTCACTAAGGGATGACTACTATGAAAAATTCCCCATCATATTACGCCAGCTTTGGGCAGCTCGGATTTTGGGAAGGCAACTCGAGCCAAGCTCGGCAAGTGGGCTTCACGAGCCCGGACGTGGGCTGGTTCGTAGGCTCATATGCTCATCCAATATTCTTATTTAGGGGGTGTTTGAGCCACATTATTTTTGTAATAATGTATTCTTGAATAGTGTATTGATGTGAAATGTGTGGTTAAAAAACAAGGAAAAATTTTTTTATTTGCGTGTAATATTTTTTTATTGAAGAATATGTGGTTGAAATGATGTCAAATCACTGTTTAAGAATGTATTTTTTTGAAATAATGTAATTCAAACAGGCCCTTAGTTACGTTGACATTTTTTATATTATTATATTTTTTCCCTCCTAAGAAAGGTTCATAGGCAGTCTAGACTACACAAGCCAAGTTCATTGTCATGATCTCAAATTTCGGAATTATTTTGGTGGAAATTACATCACACCCATCAATATTCTAAAGTCAAGATGAAAATTTTATTATTCAAAAATCAGATATTTCATATTTAACTATGAAATATTATAATACAAATTTCATCACAAACCCTAATTAATTTTCACTTTCCTCTCTCTTTCTATACCTCACTTATCTCTTCTCTTGCAAAGATGCCATCGTTGCCACCGCTGTGAAGACGCTACCACCGCTGTTGTGACCATTGCGAAGACGCTCACAATCGCGCTCAGGACGTCACCACCGATAAAGCCAATCTTTTACTTCGAAGGAACCTACCCTGTCGATCTTGAATGCTCGGTTGTACAGTGGCCCTTTTCGCTGAGAACCGCTGCAAAGCAATGCTGCGTAGCGACAGCCATTACATAGAGAAGTTGAGCTATAGATCGCACCCTTAGAGGTCCAAATCCCGACTGAAATGATGCAGTTCGCGGTAGTGATGGGTGTAGGTGGTTTCCATGTTTTCGTGGTGTTGAGGTTTTGGGACGGGTTTTGGTGGTGGTGATGGTGATGGTGGTAGTGACGATAGTAGAGTATATCGCAGTTGTCACAGTTGCAAATCGTGGTGGTGGTGATAAATATAGGTAAAGGAAAAATAGAGTTACAACCACATATAGCTCAGAAAGCTTTAGAGTTTCCAGATAAATTAGAAGATCTTAAACAATTACAAAAATTCTTAGGATTAGTTAATTATGCTAGACCCTTTATTAAAAACCTAGGAAAAATTGCAGGACCTTTATATGGAAAAACTTCACCAAAAGGTCAAAGATACTTTAATATAGAAGATATTAAATTAGTTCAAAAAATAAAAGAAAAATTAAAAGATTTACCTAAATTATCTATGCCACTAGAAACAGATTTCTTAATTATAGAAACAGATGGTAGTATAACAGGATGGGGAGCAATTTTAATTGTAAAACCCAATAAATATGCAGATAAAAATAGTGAAAAAATGGTAAGATATAATAGTGGAAATTATAAAGAAAAAGGTAATATAAGCAGTATAGATTTAGAATTACTTGCAGTTAATTATGCATTAGATTCTTTTGAATTATTTATTATTTCTAAAAGAGAAATTACTTTAAGAACAGATTGTGAAGCAATTGTAAGTTTTGTTAATAAAATGAAATTAGAAAATAAAAGAAGTAATAGAAGAAGATG